GATGGCAAACTCCACATACTTCGGGGAGTGCCGCGCCCAGCGTTCACATTCAATCCCTACTTCTCCTCTCACTCTATACACATATTTTTTTTAGATTCCTAAGTCATCTCGGCGGCCGAATTATGAGGTCTTGTAGAAGACGTTATGAGTCATGAATTTCTGGGGCAAACCCCGCCCACTTTGGTGCACACTTAGCCCACCAATAGCATTTAACCCCTTTCCCTCCGGCAACCCTTATCCACTTTTTTCCCGGGCGCTGGGGCTTCTAGGAACCGAGTTATGAGAGTGGTGGCAAACTCCGCCCACTTCGGGGTGTGCCACGCCCAGCGTTCACATTCAACCTCTACTCCTCCTCTCACCTCTTCACATATTTTTTCAGGTCTCTAAGTCATCTCGGAGCCGAATTATGAGGTCTTGTAGGGGACGAAATCCAAACCCCGCCCAGTTTGATGCATGGGTCGCCCACTGATATCAGTCGGACTATCATCTCTTCCCCAACCTTTTTCTACTTTTCTCCCATCTCCGGAACTTATTGGAACCGAGTTATGAAGTACCGTGGCAAACCCCGCCCACTTTGGTGCATGCTCCGCCCGCCAACAACGGTTGACCCCTTTCCCTCTGCCAACCCTTATACGCTTTTTTCCCGGACTCCGGGACTCCTAGGAACCGAGTTATAAGCCTAATTGCAAACTCCGCCCACTTTGATGTAAGCCACGCCCATCCCTGACATTTAGCTTCCCCTCCCCTCCTGACCTCTATCCGTTGTTTTCCGGTCTCTAAGTCATCTCGGAGCCGATTTATGAGCTCTTGTAGAAAACGCTGTCCGCTTCACGACACGCTCCGCCCATTGTGGGCGGGCCTCCGTTCACATCATGCGTGCTGGAAATACCTTAGGCATTGCTCCCCTGCACTAATTTTGTTTTCTGCTCTGTGTAGGCTTTCTCCCAACCGAGTTATGAAATTTTTCATAAAGCACTGCTTTTTTAGAGAACGCCCCGCCCACCGGGGGTGGGTCTCCCTAATTCGATGTGGCTTACCAATGCACACCTATACCCACTTTTGTCCCGGTCTCGAGGCTGTTTTGTGACTGAATTTGAAATCATGGTCCTCAGTACCACTCATTTCGACGCACGCCACGCCCACTGTGGGCGGGGCTCCGCTTAGGTAATGTATGTTTTTTACTTCTCGAGATATGGTACACCCATCCCAAACTTGACCTGGACCCAGTAGGTTGTTGTCCGCTTAATACGGAATTTCGTGACAGACAGACAGACAGACAGACAGACAGACAGACAGACAGACAGACAGACAGACAGACAGACAGACAGACAGACAGACAGACAGACAGACAGACAGACAGACAGACTTAGCGCATTATTATATATAAAGGATAGGAGAATTTATATCACCTCAGCTTTCGATTAATCGCTTCCTATACCTACAAATTTCACCCAAATCTGGACAAAAGAAGTAGCCAGAGGAACTTGTTCATGATCAACCTTTTGATAAATCGGTGTCTGGATGGAGAAAATGGATTTATCGATATACTCGCGAGGTCAAAGGAATAGTTTGTGCGAGCATCTATCGTGAACCTTAAAGGTAGTGAACACGCAAATCTGGCTACCCATCAAAGTCGTGATAGAGCTTCTCGATGGGAAGTAGTATGGAAAAACCAAGGAAAACAATGCGCATCTTGCCGAATAGTACTCTTTTCAACCCCACGGCTTCTGAAAAAGATTGGATGGCAGTTGAGATCATTAGCATCATTGCATCGCTTTGTCCTTTTTATTACGAAAACCAGAGCATTGTTGCGCAGCTCTAGTGCTCTCAGCAATCGAGACCGGAAATAGCTGCAGCGAGGAATAGCAGTAGAAATCTCTCCCTCGAAATTTCTCTCACATTAGACATATTTCCTTAATAAACACCCAATATCGCACCCAAAAACTCTCTTCTGTGTTTGTGTTTAGGGAGGGTTTCACGATGAGGTCGAAGGTCGAAGAAGGAGAAATCCACCTAGTGGAAAAAAATGCGGACCCCTGTAAACACGGGTCGCCTCGCAATTCGCGCAAAGGATATGGTCCGGCAATCTGGGCTGTATCTCATATTTTTTCTAAAGTGCCGGCACCACTGAGCATATCTGAATACCACGATTCTAATGGGCTTCACTTTGATCACAAATTTCCCCTTCACATCGGTTCGATCCAGAATGCTTGAATGCTTGCTTACTTGCAACGGGTGAAGACTCATAAGCGCTTGACAAGGCCTGGAGGAGCACTGACTCAAGGGAACCCAAGTGCAGTGAAATTATGTCGTGGGCGTAGCTTGCATCCCCCGGTCGTCGGCATGTCCCTTGCCTGTTACGTGTGAATTCTTCTTGAGATGTAGTGTTTTCTTCCACATTGACGTAAAATGCTACAATAACTTGCAATAAGAAGTATCTAATCCGAGACGTTTTCGCAGGTACATTTGCGATGTACTCGATGCCAGACCACTGACCATCAGTATTATCAAATGTCGTGATTAACAAGGATACCGAAGGAAGTTCTATTATGAATTTGACCTATGACGCACCGACCTCTTTCAAGAACAATCACGAAAGCACATTACGAGCAGAATGAGAGTTAAACATTAAACGAAATGAAGTGAGCCAAATTTTATGAGGATTGCGAACCAGTGTTCAGCGCAGACCGGTTTCGTGAATGTGCGAGTGAAATGCTTTCGATGACTTGTTTTGTTTGTTAACTGCTGTTTTAACGCCGCAGTTCGCGTTGCGAATGTTTCACAAGAATGCTGGGTTGTGAACAAAACTTTCGCCCCAGGCGGGACTAGAACCCGCACCTCTCGCTTTCCGGGCAAGTGCGCTACCAGTTACGCTACCGGGGCACCATTTCATTCCAACTCAGCTTTTCATGGTATACGTACCATAGCTTTCAGCACTCACACGTCTAACGTGTTGAGCCGGTTAGCCGGTATCGGCAATGACCGCGAGGCTGAAAGCTTTAGCAATGAATTTTGACTTGTTTTGTTTGTTAACTGCTGTTTTAACGCCGCAGTTCGCGTTGCGAATGTTTCACAAGAATGCTGGGTTGTGAACAAAACTTTCGCCCCAGGCGGGACTAGAACCCGCACCTCTCGCTTTCCGGGCAAGTGCGCTACCAGTTACGCTACCGGGGCACCATTTCATTCCAACTCAGCTTTTCATGGTATACGTACCATAGCTTTCAGCACTCACACGTCTAACGTGTTGAGCCGGTTAGCCGATATCGGCAATGACCGCGAGGCTGAAAGCTTTAGCAATGATTTTGACTTGTTTTTGTTTGTTAACTGCTGTTTTTTGGCCGCAGTTCGCCTTGCGAATGTTTCACAAGAATGCTGGGTTGTGAACAAAACTTTCGCCCCAGGCGGGACTAGAACCCGCACCTCTCGCTTTCCGGGCAAGTGCGCTACCAGTTACGCTACCGGGGCACCATTTCATTCCAACTCAGCTTTTCATGGTATACGTACCATAGCTTTCAGCACTCACACGTCTAACGTGTTGAGCCGGTTAGCCGGTATCGGTAACTGGTAGCGCACTTGCCCGGAAAGCGAGAGGTGCGGGTTCTAGTCCCGCCTGGGGCGGAAAGTTTTGTTCACAACCCAGCATTCTTGTGAAGCTTTCGATGACATCAGCCACGCTCATTCGAGCACTTTCTAATATCGCCTGATCTCGCTGATGAAGAACTCCAATTTGTCGTGCCTCAGTATTTGAGGCTGATATCGAGACATTCACGATCCACCAAAGTGAAAAAAGCCTTCGAAAATAGGCGTCGTCTGTGCACCGCTAATTTGCGAACGCTTTTTTTCCTCACGTACGTGAAATATTTCCGACATTCACTCCGTCCTTCTTCAACAGGAGAAACCGTTCCGTTATCTGACATTGGTTTCTGATCAAATAGTAAGCAAAGTACACTTGCGGTAATCGTTCATAGACCATTGCTGTATGACGAGACCTCTCTCACCATTGATTTTGTTCGTATTATGCAAAACATTATGGTCGCATCATGCATTCTGATTTTTGATATTCCGAACAATTCATAGGTAAGCTTTTCGCACTTCCAAAACCGTGTAACAATTAGCGACTCATTGAGGTGGAGGTGGACTGAACGAGGTCCAATTAAGGTTTCAAAGGATCAGGCGGTGCGGATAGTAACTGGCGCCACTTGTCGCTGCACCCCGCTCGACATCTGTGATTAGGAGTCTAGACCATTCCTTTGCGTTAAGCATTGATCACTCGTTGTTCGATCGAAAAGCCATTCAGTTTCAATTGCATACCTCCTAAAATTGTACTATTCTCAGGAAATAGAAATCCAATTACGACAGCAAAAGTTCTGACCAAATAAAATTTCCGTTTTTGTGGTGCAACATGTAGAGCATGATTCTTGAAAACAATTACGTGGTCTTTTTTTAGACTTACTGCCACATTTAGCAGTTGCTACAACTTCTTAGAACTGTATCCTCATGTAAAATCAGGCATTCGAGTTGTGGCCGTAACTTGAAATTATCACACACGTCGATGCTTTTACCATTCTAAGGGCAAGTTCAAAGCAGATGAAGTGAGCATTTCTTGTGATTTACCTGATATCCTAGTGCGTGAGCATTTCTGGGAAGAGGCCTGATTTTCTTGCATTTTCAGTTACCTATCTTAGCATATGCTGCAAGTAGTACCTAATCTCTCTCCCTCTAATACGCGCTAGATCTATCTGAAGAGACAGAAACACTAATCTGACGTCTGATTGCCTCAATTTACTGTAACTTACTGTTACTATCCACAAAAATTCAATTCAAAAATCCAGATCGCATATGAATTTATAAAAAACTAAAATGGTGATTAGAATAGAATATCCTGCATTTAGACGAAGGATTGAACAGCGTTGAGTGTCGATGCATGTGAGCTGCTTCTAATATAATATTTATTTACCCGTGCGAATCGTTTAAATTATGTGCCTGATTATCAGTTAGTCTCACTCTGTCTTACTCTTGCGAGAAAGGACAAGATCAGAAATTTTCCGAATACCGTAAACAAAAGCAGTGATTTGTAACGCAACCACTACAAGAATAACGAATATTACGTCGAGACAGAAATACTGTAAAGTTCCCATGCGGTAGCTGTAGACGTCTAGTTCTTCCATTTTTCCATGAAGAGCGGAAAATTCGACCGTTGAGAGTAGACGCTCTCTCAAGTTAAACGGTTTCCTCCTCATCAGCGAAGAAAGGCGCTTGGCTTTCTGGCGATATCTGGAATGGGAATTTTTGTCTGGTTAACCCGCAGGGTTAAAAAATCGTACCAAAGAAATGATGGTTGGAAAGCAAGTCAAGTCAAGCCTTCTTGCCATAAAATGTTTTTCAAAGCTCTCACTGTAATCACCTACACGTGATCTTCTAAAATGCTTCGAAGGCTTTTGATTAATATTTCAGCCGTGAAGAATTCTTTGTAGATCACAATCGCCGATCCCCTCCGTTCAACAAGTTTGGCGTTTCTGAAAAAAACCATTCAACATAGGCTGAACGTCACCGAAGCAATAACAATGAGGAAAGAGACTGGAGCAGTTCTTGCACACTATGTAATCAGTCCGCGTCGGCAAAATCGCGGATTGAAGCTCATATTACTACAGCGAACATATGCTCCCTGTGGGAAGTACTTGCACCGAAGGGATTGCTGAGTTCATAGCCATTCCCAGAATTGGATTGAAGTGAGCTTGAATCTGGTTGTGATGCATCTCCACAAGAATAAGGGCCTGTAACTACTCTTCACAATACTTCTATTTTTTGTACGTCAAACCTGTGCTGATCACCAAATAGTGGAATGAGAATTGACGGTTTGCCGTTCCTCGTCATCTCCAACACACTGTTCATTCCTCCATGAGACACAAAACACCGCAAATTCGGATGCGCTAAAATTTTCATTCAATTACTCTGTGAGCAGTGATCTCCGAAAACTCCGCTTACGTAGGAGATTTTCAATGTGTGGAGCGCTTTTTCAAAATGGTATTGCATGCTGTACGAGCTCTCGAGTGGGCTACAAAACTAACCCATTTTCTCTGAGTGGCGCCCTTACCAGGAAAGCTTTTCAGGACATGGAGCCGCTTTTTGAAAACGGTTTTTTGCATAATGGGGCACATGCATGGAGTACAAAACTAGGCTCCATTTTTTCTGAGCGGCCCTCTGAATGCCAAAAAAGGAGTGGAAAAAATTTCTTCAATTTTCAGAACTTCAACGTGTCTTATATCACTCGCAGCGTTGAGTAGGCGCATTATAGAAGGTTTTCTTAAAGTGACATTAAAAGAACGTCGAAAAAAGAAGCTAACAGGAGCTTATTGAAAAAAGACGCTCTGTTTTGCATATGCCACTTGTCTCTTTCAGATAATACTTCTCAACTCTTGCTCATAACATATATCTCAGAGGAACGGCATCCATCTATTTTATAAACCGCTGATGTGGTGTTCACGCATCGTATGTACGTAGTACCAAACGAAGCGTACGCTTTTACCCTCTCACCCTTTGGCTGACAGAAGTACCGTGACAGGCTTGAAAGTGCCCTTGAATCGATGTCATGTCAATGCCCCAAGAAACGGGCGAAGCTGCCGGTAGAGAAGGGGTTGACTAGGGCATAGCATTTGCTTTTATGATATTAGGTCAAAAAGATAGTTCCTGCAACACTTTCTCCGATTCCTGATTTAGATTTGACCTTTTTCGCTTTGAATCCTGGCGAGCTACGTATCCACAACAACTGTGCACCACTTGTCTCCAACGCTCGAAATTTTCTCAATGTTCTTTTTTGAGACATGGTAGAGCACAAGTCAAAGTTGCAGGCGACCTTGTCTTCTGTTGAACATCGTCAGAGAGATGACTTAAGGTCCACAACAGGCGATAGCCATCAAGAGCTCGACAAGTGGAGTGCTCTAGGTGAGGCAAGAAATCTCGTCGCAGCACAAAGTAAGCGTAAACTGCAATGTTTCTGCCGTAGTCACGTACAATGCGCGTCGCATCGACGCGCTTTCTGGAGTGATAGTCCTACGGATTTCCCCAATAATGAGACTATCCCTGCTCTACAGGGTAGCAAATTTGGCCTGCCCGCTTGGGCGGCGAGGATGAACGCGCTTCGCGCGCAGTGCAAGGGAGGTCACCCTCTGGTGCCGCCCAATCCTACACGAGGCCAACCCGACATGAGCGCCATCCTCCACCTTCTACTTGAATGACGCTCAGTATAGTTGGCGAGTTTGCTCTACCATTCTTTCTCCGTTGTTACTTAGGGTGCTCGCTCTATCCAAACGGCTTGAGTCAGTGATTCGCAGTGTCACAAAGAAAACAAACATTATGGCTCTACGAGCGTTTTTGGCGAGCTGCCTAGGCTAACTTGCGAAGTTCCCAGTTTAGTCCTTTGACAATGGTGCTCATATAGAAGAATTTGTAATCAGGCTTCCTTACCAACCCTATCTGTAATGTGAAGTAAGTGGTGATGATGGCCATTTTTAGAAATATGAGGTGATCGAAAGCGGTGGTACAAGTAAAACACGTTGTAATTGTGAACGACATTCCCGTTGAGTTACTTTCCATAGGGTTGGTCGTCGACATCAATTCATACAGGGAAATATTCATACTAGCCAATGACCCAGACAGATTGACAAGTGACCGACATTTTTTGGACTTTCACAGATAACACTGAATGTAGCGCCTATATTCACCCTGTATGTAGAGGACTCGAGGAAGGTCTACTCTGCGGGTTTTTCAGAAAAAATAAAGAAGTGTTTCAGGACTTTCTCTTCAACCTTATATCTTCCACCAAAAGGATTATCTATAACGTCGTGCAGCGAGCCTGCGCCCTCTTCAATTACTGAAACACTCGAGAGTTTCATCCCTTTTTGAGGTCTTTGTACTGTATGTCTTTATGTATTTCATAAATCATAGGCAATAAAGGAGAGTTCGCAGTATTCGAGTCATGAATCCACCAATCAGTAAGGTAATTTACTTTCAAGTGCACTTTTAAGCGGGCAGGTGATAGCCGTTGAAAACTCGTAGGCGGGGTGCACAATTGCTTTGATGGGAAGGGGCCACTACTGAAGCGATCCAGCGCCAACTTCAACAGAACACGTCAGAGCAGCCCCAATATTACACATAATGCCTTCATTGTTTCCATTGACCAGAGGGGATCGTGCTAGAAACTAATGTCATATAGGGTGGGGGTAGGGGAGGGTGAAAATTTCGCCGCGACATTTCTCTTCGAAGACGATGCCTCACCCGTGCTGCGTAATGCGCGCATTCGTAGATACTGGAACAAACCCATCTGACCGCTTAGCATAACTTCGTATAGCATACATTATACGAAGTTATACGACGTACTTGCCCTCTTGACAACGTGCGTGGCATGGTGATGCGTCAATTTCAAATCCAGTTTTCTTTTTAAAGCAATTGTGCCCAACATACATGTGCTCACGAGAATGCCAAATAACACGTCTTCCTGAGAGTCCGTCAACGGAGAAAGAAGACTGTGTTCACAAACCATCTTTCGAGCAACAAATCTTACGTAAATAACTGCTTCCCTCGTAATATTTCTCCGCATTTTTCTGCAGTGAAATTGATAAGAGCTACAGTAACTTTTCTAAAGGTTCAACATGTCATGATGTGATAGAACTGAAATCTCGTACACTATTGCGGTGTAATTGATAGCAGTCCAGTCATTTGTAGTAGACGTCTTATACAAATCTTGTGATGGAATTGCTAACCCGTACATTCTTGTGAAAAAGATAACCAGGCACATTACTAAGGTTCCGTACATGTTTGTGATAAATTGAATCTCGTAGAATCTCCTGTGAAAGTTATAACCAACCAAGCACTTGTATAAACACCCCGCACACAATTTTTTTTGACGAAATAAGGTAATCTAGGCAATATTCTGAAACTCAGTTTTTTCCGATACAATTGAGAACAAATCAAGCAGTAACATTCACCATTTCAGATTTGTGTTATTTAAGAAACTTTCAAGGCTCTTGCTATCCGATAACTCTCTTTCCTATCTCCATCGTCGACTCGAAGCTAGAACTACACGGTGGTCCAAAATTATGAGGACCGCGTGCGCGCGCAGTCATATCCACTTTTTTCCGTATCGCTCCATTTTCATCTCGTTTTCTGTGCACTATGTGAAAGGGTACAATGTCTTCTTCCTAATGAAACCAAATTTCATGAAGTTCTCAAAACTAGTGAAATAACTACTTCACTTTGAGTCAGTCCTCAAATTGAACTCACTAGGGGCTCTGGCACGTTACATCTAGCAGCAGTCTAACCTATCAGAGGAAGCCCTTATGAGCAACAGTTCAACTCTTCAATAAGTTTGGAACCACCACAGATGGAAAATTCGGGGACTCGAAAGTTACAGTTACCACCAGGACAATTATCAGATGCAGAAACTAGGTCTCCCTTGTCGACTTTTCGTACACCCAAAATGAAAAAATTGATGTTGAAAAACCCAGCCAACACTCTAAAGACTCCATCATGTAGTGGATAGAAAGCCACACGAGTAGTCTACTTAGAACTTCTTACAGGACCGAGCACCCAAGAATAAAGCAAAAATCCTCCAAAAAGCGATTTTTTCGAGTTCGTTGCTTTCGAAGAATTGTTACAATGGAACCATCCACCTAATAGCTCTAGATTTCTGTATTTCACACCCTGGATGCAAGCGCAAATAAATGCAACACAAAAGTTTGATTCCCTGAAGAAGGCAGAGCAGAAGGCCTGGAAACATTTGGACACGCCTTAGTTGCGTGCCACCGCACGCGCCATCCCCCTCATCCGAAGGCTCGTGTTAACGGGGGAAGTGGCAGATCTCAATTCTATTCTGGAATTACTTTGAGGTAAGAGTTACAAATACTTCCCAGAAGTTGGTTTGTTCCATCAAGCTACTATGCGTTTTTAACGACACAATGTCTTGGTCCTCATAATTTTGGACCACCCTGTAGGCTCATTTCAACATATCCTTTATGGATTTTCTGTTTGTAGCAGCAATTGTTTTTGCCTAGATCGTATCACTCAAATCGCAAGAGATGTGCAAGATCCAGAGCATAGCAAATCGAACAGGTTTCAGGATAAATTGTGTGGACAATATATTATATTTTGTTGGCTTACAGGACCCACAGATGCGTCATCTCTATATAAAAAAGTATGTGCTAATACATCTCAACTTTAATATAAGGGGATTTCAGATTGTTCGGGAACAAAACTGTTCCCTATGACCGCAGTGCAAGTGGTGTATGCGCAGTGCGAAGCAAAAAATAGGCCTAGCACTGCGCGCAGGAGAATCGCAGACACCGCAGGGATGCAACGTGTTGAAGCAACAATTCTATTAGGTTGTCTCATAAGTAGTGTCGCTTTTTTCTCAACCAAAAAATTTTCATCTAAATGCTCCCAATGCTTTTACATCGTGTCATATACCATTCGAAAGAGAATTGTCTGCTCTCTACAAGATGGTGTGTTCTACTTCCACCAATGCTCCAGGGTTTTCAAAATTCAGGCCTGCGAATTGGAGGTCTAGCCGAAAAAAAATTAACCAAAGTAGCAAAAACACCAAACCGACTAACTGCTCTAACTTTATTTTCCCTGGGAGAAATCAATCAATGATGTACCTCTACTTACTCATGACCTCTTCTGAACATTCCACTCTTAGGTTGCCGAAAAAGCTTTGCCGTGTTTCTTTTCGAATTGGCTGACCGATAAGCCATAGCAATTTTCAAATTAAAATTGTTCCTCGTAAACGCCATTGTTTCATATCGAGTGGTGTTCCTTTTGTGAGCACTTCTTCTGCTCTATTCGCTCATTTGTTTTGTTTTTATGTTTGTTGGGAATTAGTTCGAATTTTAGGTGTTTAGGAATAAGGTGTTTTATCCACGAAAGTGACCGCATTTCTTTGAAAAAATTATCCCTGAGAAGATGAGAAAATCAACCAGGCGTACATTCCTAACTTAGTCATGACTTGTTCTTTAAATTCTACTAGTTTTTCAATGTCTCGGCTATAAAAAAATTTCGACCTAGATCTCAGGTAATGGTGCTCGACCGTCGAGTTCTGGTTGAAAAACCAGGTCTGGAAATGGAACGACGCGACTTGTTGGGAAACCTAATAGTGTAATGTTAGAAGAGGTCATGTATAAGTAGAGGGTACATCATTGATTGATTTCTCCCAAGGGAAGATAAAGTTAGAGATAGTTGTCGGTTTGGTCAATTTTTGTCGGCTGGACCTCCCATTTCGCAGGCCTAAAATTTGAAAACCTGGAACAGAGGTGGAAGAGGAACATAGCATCTTGTAGAGCAGACAATTCTCTTTCGAATGGTATATGACACGATGTAAAAGCATGGGATTTAGATGAAAATTTTTTGGTTGAAAAAGCGACACTACTTATGAGATAACCTAATAGATCGAATACACGAGATAAACGGTCGGAAAGGGATTGTGTATGCCGAGTTTACCGACAATAAAAAAAGCAAAGAAAACCACGTGACCTTTGTGGACTCTCTTTGTTTCCCTCTTGTGGATGAAGGCGGGTTGAACGAGCTGTTAACAAGTTTGCTCCGCAAGAATTTATTGCAGGCTCGCTCCAACAAGAAATGCGGCTGCAGTCGCATATGCTCCAATAAATGCAGACAAATATGCGTCAGCATAAACGAAGAAATACGTAATGAAATGAGCTAAGCTAGCTAAATCAATCAAAAAGAGGCAGCGTTGATTTTGAAATGCGGGAGAGTTTACACGCAATGGCGCAAGAAGGCTTCCAACCACGCCATCTGTACGGCCAGTAATTGGGTGGCACCGTAACCGAAGCGTTCAAGTCTTTTCAAGCGGCTTTCCAACGCGAGTTTATTTCCTGGTGACGCTTCCCATTATTACGACTAGAGCTAGCGCATCATTTCCTCATCATTAGTATCGAAGGTTCTTGTTGAGGTTGTTCTTTAACCAGTAGATCATTTATACATTACAGAGGTGACTTTCCAGACCCTACCTAAAACTTGCCCAGCGCATTATCACTAGTCATATGGAGTGTTCAAGAGGAAGAAAACACATGCAGTTGTTCCGCAAACCGTGGCAGGTGTTCAACGATGGGGCTTATTTCATCCACTTTGAAAAGCATGGCAAGCGATATATGTGGCGAGCTGAAGGCAACAAGAACTCTGAATATTGGCGGTCATATAAGTACGACAACTCAGGCAAACACAAACTGTATTAGGCGTCGTAGTGAAGAAGAATCGAGATCGCACAATTAGTACACAGTTAAACATCGGCATGTGTCGCCTTCACAGTGGAGCTTCAGTGGGTGTCAAGCGCTGGAGTTCTTCTTCAACATTACAATTCTTTTTTTGACTTAATGGACGTTTCGTTTCAAAACGTAAAACATTTTACCGAGAAGCGCAGATTGCGGGATCCAACTTGTAGTGAAAAGATTTGTCATTTCCGGCGCTGTATCACTCTCATCGATTTTCCAAATGAACGTATAGTCTTGGAATTCAGAGGCAGCACTCAGAATTGCCAGTCGAATATTTCTTGGCATCTGCAATAGCAATCCATTCTGAAAAACATATAAGAACGCGCACTGTTATAGCTCCCATACAATAGTGACGAAAAATTTTAACTTGTGGAATAAATGCTAGCTTATAGAAATGAAGAGAATTGATCACGGCTGTAGAATTTTTCTGGGGGTTTTGTCCGTCATAGCATTCTACTCCACTTTCTGGAAGAAAAAATTTAGCGCAAAAGAGAGTATAGTCGCTAGGATCGAACGAGGCAAGCTTAGAGAACTTTTTTTTATACTGTCTGTTTATTGTTTGAAAAAGTCTCGAAGGTCGCTTGTTGAATTTTAGGGCCATTCTAGCATCAGCTTTGACGCAGAAGCATCTCCATTGAATTAGAAGAATTTATCATTTTGCTCAAAAAGGTGCCTTTCAACTACACGAAGCCTCAAACTCTTATTCGTTCTATAAGCTTGTTCTTAGCGTTAAAGCAATTAAAGGAAATCCTTCGCGGAAAATTCTTGCATTCTTTCTTAACATGAATGTATCAGTTGTGATCACTGGAATGCAGCACACAAAGTTTCACGCATGAAGATTCGGTTTCCGAAGAGAAACAAACTCACGAAAATCCATTCTATGGACAATCGAAGGTAATTCGGGCGGAGCCAAAGGCGGGGCATGGAATAAGTCCGCACAGGCGACGCAATGAAAGAATCGGGTTAAAGCGCGCGATTTCGGAGAGTAGAGACAAATCGATCGATAGAATAGGATGGAGTAGAAGTGTGAGATGTGAATGCAATAAGTCAAAAGGCCAGAAAGAGTTTCTAGTGAAGGCACTCCAAGAAAGTGGAAGCATTCCCGTCGCCAGCATTTGTGACAGATGTCCGGCGGTACTTTGAACGCGTAGCAGCCCTTTCGGTTTTCGAATTTTTTACCAAAACAAATGCAATTTTTCTGTTCTTTTCATTCTTATCGTGGATAATGGGTCTCAAGCCAGTGAATTATGGCTGAAATAGAATCATGATCTTCCCTAAAGGATTCCTATAAGCTTTTCAACCCCCAGCTGAACTCGTACGTACCGCGATATTTGTAGTAAAGTTGAAGCCGTGCTGTGATGGCTGCCGTTATGTGATCCCAGTAACTATTCTTCTTCGTTTTGCAGACGGCTTGAATTAGTCTCCGTCTAAGGGTCACGTGCGAAACGGAGACTAAACGACTTCTTTGCTCACCACCCCTTTCAATATGTACAGGGTGTCCCAAACTACTTGCGCCAACTTTCAAAAATTCATTGGAAAAGGTATATCGATTATTTTCATTTCGGGCGCTGCTAAATAGTTGTGCAGGTAGGTTCTCTTGTGAACTGCATCGTTATTGGGGTAAAACTGCCAGTATCTCTGAGATGGCGAGAGGTGATCCAAGGTGACCTGCGATCATTCGCGTGCGCGAGCAAGAGACTGCATCTTAGGACATTGTTAAATTTCTTGGTGTTCCCGTGAACACAGTAAAGGTGGCCAACAAACGATGCAGGAGAATAAGAACACTCATTCACAAGCCTGTACAAGGAAGAATGGTCAGCGTGTTCACGGATAGAATCAACGAAATGTTTGCTTAGCAATCCACGGTGCTCCATCAGAAGGATGGCGAGGCCGCTGAATTTATCGAAGTCATCGATGGGGCGCATCATTAAGGAGAAGCACTACAAACTATCACATGCAGAAGTGCCGCTTCATTCTGTTCAGCAACAAACAGCAGAGAGGCCGAAAAGTTGGAAGGTACTAGCGCGCTTCACTGGCGACACGCAACTCTCGATCGTTTTTTCTGACGAGAAAATATTCGCTGTGGAGCCGGTGTTGAATAGCCAAAGCGATCACATTCTAGTCAGAAGTATCGGGAGTGTCATCTCACGAGGGAAGATTGTTGAAGAACGGCTAACTCGGCATCAGTAATGAATTGGGTGTGAGTCGCGGCCAATGATGAGATGCCGTTGAATTTTGCCGATTCATGTGTGAAGATCAGCAAGGACGCGCGTATTAGTGAACGTATTGAAACCTTGATCCAACCCCACTTTGGGAACAAGCCGTGGTGTTGCTAGCCATGACAGTGCTACAGCCCTATGGCCAAACATCACCGTTCAACACGCACATCAGCTAAAACCATGGTCGACAGTCTGCCTTCCGCTAACTTGATCGCACTCAGCGTTTTTTCCTCGGTGAAACTCTCATATGATCTCATGTATTAAGTGCAAGGCGTGTCGAGTTTGTCGTAGGAATCTGCAACCATTGCAACCAGCATCAAAGGAAGCCTGGGAAAATTTGAATGAGGAACACCTGCGTGCAACGTGGGAATGGTGCAAGAAGAGACTCCGGGCCTGAATCCGGCTTCGGTAGAGGGACAATTATTGAAGCTATCAAATTGAGATGCATTTTTTGTAGTGTACTGACTGCATATTAAATTTAGCGCTTACTATCTCAGTTATCCATTCTGGTGTCCAGCAGATTTAAATTACAATCAACATTGCAATAAATAGCGCTCAAGAATTCTCAGGAATCCTAGTATGGGAACAACATCTGAAAACATAAGCTGAATTTTTGGTTTAGCATCGTAAAATCAGAGATAAAAAATGAATTATTTGATACAATTTGTTCTCTTATAATCGTTTTGACAAATCAGTATAACTTAGTTTCGAATTATGCCCTCAGTCCTTGTCGTATCCGAATAACGATTCTTATTTCTTTCCCGCTTGCGCTTTACAGTCACACAGTCGTGATTTCCATTCATTGAACAATACCTTGATGGTTACCGATCGATGATATACACTACATCACCTAACCCTAACATAGGCGAATAATCTCTCGTTAATCCCACCAACCGTCGTCAGTGCCATAACCCAATAAGCGTAGAAGCCTTGCTCAAAGGTTTTGTCCATGTTACTGTCACTATCGCTTTTGCCTAGCATGCAATTAGGAAACCGCCATATTATATTACTTTATGCACACGTGAAAAATAATTTATACATCCTATGAATAAAAACTCGACGACACCACTTCTTTATTCGAAAAGCCTGCCCATTGCTGTGTAGTTGCGCTCTACGGAGCTCCTATTCTCTTCCATATTCTCTGCCGGAACAGCTACAGCAGAGTAGTGGAAAGTAACACGGAATCTATGAATCCCTGAACGGTACCGAAACGGGCGACATCGTCGAGTCGCAAAAGTTCGCAAGCGTACTTGCCGAACGAAGGCTTTGAGCCGGGATCAATTTGATGTGGTACCTTCACTCGAATACGGAAGTGGAGCTGCAAATTGGACAACAAGGGAGAAAAATGGAAGGACTACCGTCAAAAACACTTAAAACACACCTCCCTCGCTCTACAATGCGTGAACTCTAGAAGGCACACAGTGGGAACAAGAGCTGATCTCAGTCGCAGAAAGGGTTGAGATCTCTATTCGAAAGAGCACAGCTGATCAATCATTACGACACAACAAAGGATATCGAAGACCGGGCGTAGCAAATCGCACGCGCCTGACCCCTAGTAAGCGAGTTCGAAAAGCTAAGCGTCGCGACCTTTTCTGTTGCGGTCCTTAAAGCACCTCCCATCCAGCAGAGGGAGCTTCAATCCAAGCGCTGACGCCTTCCCTTAAGGAGGGTGTGCATTCACTTTTGTGTTAAAAACAATAGAGCGCGCGAGGTCACGAAAGTTGCATCTTGACGTATGTCAAGGGCCGAAGTCGATTAGGATGCCTTGTGGCGTTCATTCATAATTGCCCGTTTGGTCTGCACCGCGCTACCTACAGGTCGTGCCAATAATAGAGGCGGAAATAATTAAGCGAATCACCTAAAATAGGAAATACGTGATTAGTGAATTTTTGCCTGATCTAGCGCTCATGGAAACCCATACGAAATTCGGGTTGATAGCTTCTGTACATGATCTTTTCCGTTTCGAAATTCTTAACAAAACAAGGAAGAATTTAAGAAAACGTAAGGTAAGGTAAACGTAAAAACCTGAATAGTGGGTGCGTTTGAGCCGAAGGATATTAGGACCACACCTTTGCTGTCGCTACGCTCCATTATTGAACGAAATTTCTGAATAGTTTTTACACAGTTGGGAGGAGTTCATTAGATTCTGCTAAAGAATTGGAGCCAACCTCATCCAAATCGGTTGCCTGTGGCAATGCTATGCCACCAATGTGAACAAGTTTGCCGGAAGTCAGAGAAGCGTATTCAAGAAACTCATCTGAGTTAGATAATACATAATTAGTTCGACTTGCGATCATTTCGCGGAGGTTCCTTTGAATACCATTCTTCACGAACATTGTCTGAAAACACGTCGGCACCACCGAATAGAGCGCTGTTCTATCAAAACAATACAGTGCGTACCAAAAGTATGTGGACACCCTGGAATCGATTCTCAGGAGTCAGCTAAAGGCTTTTATGTCATGAAACCTCCACCATTCAACTCCTAGTGGTCGATAACCTACAATGACATTTTCTGCAAAAAAACCGGCTCTGGATACATGTCTTGCCGATCTGTTCCCAACCAGCCAATTTCACCGACGTGTTAGGTCACTTGTGATATTACTCTTTTGTTCAATGACGTAGAGACCGCGAACCACGATACCTCTACGTTTTCAATAAGGATGAAGTCTGAGGAATACGCTAGCCGACTTGCCAATCAAAGCCGTTGCGTTTAGCATTTTTCCAAATGGAATGGTGTCAGGGACCTCCCCTGCAAAACAAGTGATTTGCGACCATGACTTTTCGAAAAAGGTTGTAGCCGGGACTCAAGCACCTCATTATAATCCTAGTTGTCTACCTGACATGTTAGCAAGCCAAACTCCGACCCACTCGAATAGCAAGAGATAAGCTTCTTTCTGCCAGTTGAGTTGGTCTATGAAGGAAATTCTCTACAGAAAGTCTTTTTTATACTAATTTTACCATTTCCACGAAAAGCTGTCTGTGTGGGTTCAAAGTATCATGTTGTGATCCTTTTTTGAGTGGGAATTCCAACCTTGCCAACCTGAACCCGCATTCATATACAAAGCCTTCTTCATCTTCTTTCGTGTCATGTGCTTAGTTGATGG